TCAATTTATATTTTCATTCTTGAGATTTGGTAATAGGTTTTAACATCTGGCAAAGATAGTCCCTCTCCTCCCCACCCCTGATTTTAGTCAGTAATCTTAAGATTTTTTCAAGTTTTTTTTTTTTTTTTTTTTTTTTTTTTTTTTAAGTAATCTCTACATCCAACATGGTGCTCGAACTCACAACCCCGAGATCAAGAGTCGCACGCTCCACTGACCGAGCCAGCCAGGCGCTCCTTAATGTTTATTTATTAAAAAAATTTTTTTTAATGTTTACTTTTGAGAGAGACAGAGGGCGAGTAGGGGAGGGGCAGAGAGAGAGACACAGAATCCAAAGCAGGTTCCAGGATCTAGGCTCTGAGCTGTCAGCACAAGGCTTGACTTATGAACTGCGAGATCATGATGTGAGCCGAAGTCAGACATTTAACCTATCGAGCCACCCAGGCGCCCGTTTTTGTACTGATAAAGACACACTTCGAGTGCACAATTTGCCAATTTTTCGTGATGCGCTTTGAATTCCTGGGTATCCAGATGAGGCAATCAGTGAACACGTCCCGTCTCCCACCCACCTTCCCTCAGCCCCGATTTTGGCTAGAGTATCACTTCTGCACCGCTCTGTAACCTTGACGTTCTCTTTTCTCATCGTAATCGCCCCAGTAGTGTGAGACTTGCTATCAGGCGTTCATCCCCAGCCCTTTTGCTCCAGGGTTGCCTTCATCTCTTGGTTGACCGAAGCTCACCTCCTGGTAGTTTCTTCAAGAAGGGCTCCTAGGACCCACATTCTGTGACTTTGTGCAGATTCAGCGCTGTTTGCCTGCAGGCCTGATCCTTGGGGGTTTTGTTGAACACGAGATCCCGGCCCACCTTTGCTTTCCTGGGCTGCCTCGAGGCTCTTGCCGCCTGAGGCGCTGAATGTCCCTGTGGAGAAGTCTCAGCCCAGCTGGTTCTCCTCCCCCATGTGAGTGATTGGGGCCTTGTTGTCCCGTCTCGTCGCTAACCACTCTGGGCTGGTTTTCCTAACACAGCGCACCTTTCAAGGGTCCTTGTAGCTTCACAGGTTACACTTTTAGTGTTTGTTCTGTTCCTTGGTTTAGTTCTCTTTCCTCGCTAACTCCAGTTCTGTGCGCGTGGCCTCTCCTTTTGTCCGTTTCCGCCCTTCTCTTTAATCCCCTCGTCCTCTCTGTCCCCTTCTTTTCACTGCTTTTCTCATTTGGGTCCCCCTTCCCCCTTTCTGAGCTTTCCCGTCTGCCTCTTTTCCTTTGTGTCCTCATCTTGTCCTCTCGTCTCCGGACTTCCCCTGCCTCCCGGAGCCCTGCCGCCACCGCTCCGGCTCTTTCTCGCTCCAGCTCTTTCTCGACCGTTCACTTCGCAGCCGGCCTTCCTACAGGCAGTTGCTTTGCTTAGTGTTGTTTTAACGTGTGACCTATGTCACTTTCTCAGGAATAATTCCCATGATTAATGTGAGGGTCAGAGGCTCTCTCCTTCTCCGCTTCGCAAAAACAGACGCTCCCTGCATAGGTGGCTCATGTGGGTGATTCTGGTTGCAGCCTGACCTCCCGAAGCCAGCCCCGCTTGCCCAGGTCCCACATGCACTGTTGCTCTTGAGGGTGAGTCCCTTACCTTCAGGAAGTGACTTTCTGAGCTTATTGAGATCAGTTGCCCTTAGTCCCCCCCCCCCACTCCCCCCGCACCCACTTTCCATGTTTATTCTCTTCACTTCCTGCCTCCTCGGCCTCTGCCCAGTCTCTGCTGTTTTTGGAAGCCCTTGTATGTATTTTGGTGTCTGCAGATTAATCTTCTCCCTAATCTCACTACAAATGGAGTTTGGGTTCTGTTCATCTTCCCTGTTGCTTCTGAGCTCGTTCCAGAACACACCAACCAGTTCTTCTGATTTTAAGGCAGCGGAAAAGCTTATTAGCTAGTGTCCTTGTTCAGAAGAGAACAACTAGTAAAGTCATTTTAAAAACATGTCTTGGGTAGTGTTGGCTTGCCGAAAATAAACCAGGGCAGGGCGTCTGCCTGGAGGACCTTGTAGAAGAGTGGTGATGGCAGCCCTCTGTGCTAGAACCTTGGGAAACCGTTGCAGGAAACCGAGGATGCGCAGAACTCCTGGTCCTGGCCTCGTGGGAACATGCACCGGGCCCCTCACGCCTGCACCGGTCCCTGGAGACCTGGGGCCAGAGGGCAGGTGTAGGGGCCCACACACTACCAGCAGAGTGTGTGTTAGTGAGCATGAAATGTACCCTTATGTCTACCTGTGAGTTTAAGTACAGTCTCAGCCAGTATTGACTGATGGCACGGCTGGAACCCGGGTTCTCCCTGAGGGATGCGTGGCAGATTTGATCATGTGCACATACGGAAATTTACCCTACCTTGCAGAAACTCATAATCATGGAATCAAGCATCTAACTTTAAACGATTTCTGGGGCGCCTGGGTGGCTCAGTCGGTTAAGTGGACGACTTCGGCCCAGGTCATGATCTCGCGGTCTATGAGTTCGAGCCCCGTGTCGGGCTCTGTGCTGACAGCTCAGAGCCTGGAGCCTGTTTCAGATTCTGTGTCTCCCTCTCTCTGACCCTCCCCCGTTCATGCTTTGTCTCTCTCTGTCTCAAAAATAAATAAACTTTAAAAAAAAAATTAAACGATTTCTTAGCCTTAGTCATGGGAATGTCACTAGGACTTTGTATAATTATTTTACTAATTGTCTTCCCTGCTCTGGATGGATCTGCTCTTTTCTGGAGGTCTTAAGTTAGGTGTTAGGGATAATCAGCCTGTCATCCTTATCAATAAATCATTGATTTACTTCTGTACCCTACAGAATTCCAAAAAAGAATTAAAGACAGCTTACGGAAACTGCACAAGGGTGCTCGCTTCGGTAGCACATGTCCTAAAATTGGAACGTTACGGAGATTAGCCAAAAAGAAAGAAAGAGAAAGAAAGGGGAGGGAGGGAAGGAAGGAAGGAAGGGAGAAAGAAAAGAAGAAAGAACAGAAAAAAGAAAGAAAAAAGAACGGGGCACAAGGAAATTATAGCAAAAAAGAAAATAACGGGAGGGGAAAATGAGATGAAAGAATACAGATTGGGGGCGGGACAAACATCCAGTATTCTTTCTCTGAGCTTTTGACTCCAAGCTTCCAAGCAGGCAAGGCAGAGAGGGGAAGCCATCACCAGAGGTGTGAGGCAAACACAAATGTGTTGATCAGAGAGTGGTTCTTTTGGGAATTTCGGTTACAGGGAAATTTCCTTCTCGCTCATCAAGAGGACATTGTGTGGTATAAACAATGTTGCCAACAACTTCCTGGCAGTGGTAACGTTCCCGACAGCCATTAATTTCTGATGACACTTCTCAGACTGCTCGTGACTATCGGCCAGAGTCATTAAATCAACACACGGTTCAGTTCTGCGAGGATCAGAACAGTGCGATCCAGGCTAACGGCTCTCCACTGCTCTGGTTTGATCCTGGGATAGACTTCAGAGTCTCTCCGTTAAGGAAGGGAATGCATGTCTTTTCGGGGATCCTCCCGAATGACTTCTTTCACCCAAATGTTTGATAAGTACTAGGCAGTAGTTTGACAAGTTTCTGGAAGGTAGGTACTTTGTATTACCGATGGGAGGTCCATTCTACTGCAGAGAAATTTTAGGGCTCTTTTAACTGCCCACGTGCTTCCAGTCATCTATATAGACACCTGGAAGTCCTTTTTGCAGAGGCCCTGTTATCTCATCTGTCTTACTTAAAATCTAGTTCGATTATTAACACCATAGTGTGATGCATGAGATTATTATATAATCTTTTTTTTTTTTTAAAGCTTTTTAATTTATTTTTGAGAGAAAGAGACAGCGTGAGTGGGGAAAGGGCAGAGAGAGAGGGTGAGAGAATATCCTGACGCGGGGCTCGAACTCATGAAACCATGAGATCACGACCTGAGCCGGAACCAAGAGCTGGATGCTTAACTAAGCCACCCAGGCACCCCTGAAAAGAGACTGAGTTTTAGGGAAATTTCTCCGGCACCAATGAAAAACGTATTCATTCATTCACCAAATTTAATTGAGCACCTGTTAGGCATATAGCACCTTGGTGAGTTTTGGGGGTCATTGTGTTCCCTGTTGTTTTCCCTTGATTAGGATTTTCACATCCCCACCTGACTTCATTTCCCAGTGTAGAAACAGATATAGATGTGGGACCCGAATCTTTAAGTCTTAGAAATTCTGGGTGATTACCACATGGGTATGAGGTCTGACAACCAGATAATCAGAAGGAAAGGAAATCAGCCTGGTTTTTTTCTTTTCTTTCTTTCTTTTTTAACATTTTTTTTATTTTTGTGAGACAGAGAGAGAGCGCAAGCAGGGCAGAAAGAGAAGGAGACACAAAATCTGAAGCGGGCTCCAGGCTCCGAGCCGTCAGCACAGAGCCCAACGAGGGGCTCGAACTCACGAACCATGAGATCATGACCTGAGCTGAAGTCGGACGCCTAACTGACTGAGCTACCCAGGCGCCCCAGAAATCCACGTGGTTTTTAAAAGTTTTGAGTATTCCTTGGCCTCTTCGTTTTCATTAGTTTAAATTTTAGGGGAGCCTGGCTGGCTCAGTCAGTAGAGCGTGTGACTCGTGATCTCAGGGTTGTGAGTTGGAGCTCCGCATTGGGCATGGAACCTACTTTATTTATTTTTATTTTTTTAGTGTTTATTTTTGTGACACACAGAGAGAGAGAGCGTGCATGAGCAGGGGAGGGGCAGAGAGAGAGGGAGACGCAGAATCTGAAGCGGGCTTCAGGCTCCGAGCTGTCAGCACAGAGCCCCAGGTGGGGCTCGAACTCAGGGACTGGGAGACCGTGACCCGAGCCCAGGTTGGACACTTAACTGACTGAGCCACCCAGGTGCCCCAAGCATGGAGCCTGCTTTGAAAACAAAGTTTAGTTTGTAAAAGATTTCACTCTGCTTTCCTTTCCTCATCATTACAGGAGGTTGAGTACAAATTGAAGAAACGTGTTTTTCTTCCCTGTTTCAGATTTTGAGATCCAGAGCGAGGATGGGGAGAACTCCAACCAAGATGTGTTCGAGGACGCGGAATCAGGGCAGATGTTGCCGGAGAGGCCCGACGGGGCGGGCACTCAGCGGCCTGGCTGGGAAAGCGACTTGGAGAGAGACCGTGGCCCCGGGGGGCGCCGGGGAGGGGCCCCGGCCGGGGGCCGCAGGGAGGTGGCGGCCCAGGGCCGGGAGGTGGGACGGCTCATCGGCCTTCAGGGCACCTACCTGGGGGAGAAGCCCTACGAGTGTCCGCAGTGTGGGAAGACCTTCAGCCGGAAGTCCCACCTGATCACGCACGAGCGGACCCACACGGGGGAGAAGTACTACAAGTGCGGCGAGTGCGGGAAGAGCTTCAGCGACGGCTCCAACTTCAGCAGACACCAGACCACGCACACGGGGGAGAAGCCTTACAAATGCAGGGACTGCGGGAGGAGCTTCAGCCGGAGCGCCAACCTCATAACCCACCAGAGGATCCACACGGGGGAGAAGCCCTTCCAGTGCGCCGAGTGCGGCAAGAGCTTCAGCAGGAGCCCCAACCTCATCGCCCACCAGCGGACCCACACGGGGGAGAAGCCCTACTCGTGCCCCGAGTGCGGGAAGAGCTTCGGCAACCGCTCGAGCCTTAACACGCACCAGGGCATCCACACCGGCGAGAAGCCGTACGCGTGCAAGGAGTGCGGGGAGAGCTTCAGCTACAACTCCAACCTGATCCGGCACCAGCGGATCCACACGGGCGAGAAGCCCTACCGGTGCCCCGACTGCGGGCAGAGGTTCAGCCAGAGCTCGGCGCTCATCACGCACCGCAGGACGCACACCGGCGAGAAGCCCTACCGGTGCGGCGAGTGTGGCAAGAGCTTCAGCCGCAGCTCCAACCTGGCCACGCACCGCAGGACGCACCTGCCGGAGAAGCCCTACAAGTGCGGCGAGTGCGGCAAGAGCTTCAGCCAGAGCTCCAGCCTCATCGCGCACCAGGGCACGCACACGGGCGAGAAGCCCTACGAGTGCCTGACGTGCGGGGAGAGCTTCAGCTGGAGCTCCAACCTCGTCAAGCACCAGCGCATCCACACGGGCGAGAAGCCGCACCGCTGCGGCGACTGCGGCAAGAGCTTCGGCCAGCGCTCCCAGCTGGCGGCGCACCGGCGGACGCACACGGGCGAGAGGCCCTACCGGTGCGTCCTGTGCGGCAAGAGCTTCAGCCGCGGCTCCGTCCTCGTCATGCACCAGCGAGCCCACCTGGGCGACAAGCCGTACCGCTGCCCCGAGTGCGGGAAGGGCTTCAGCTGGAACTCGGTGCTCATCGTCCACCAGCGCACCCACACCGGGGAGAAGCCCTACAAGTGCCCCGACTGCGGCAAGGGCTTCAGCAACAGCTCCAACTTCATCACCCATCAGAGGACTCACGTGAAGGACAAGCTGGGCTGAGGCGGCAGAAGGGCCCCGGGACACCGAGGTCCCTCCGGGAGAGCCATGCTCCCTAAGCGGTCTCTGGGGACTTTTGCGGGGACCTCGCCCTGCCCCGTCCCCATCTCTAACACACCTCGGTGGTCGCAGGCGAACCCCCAGAACAGGGCACGGGGACGGAGGGTCGGGTCTTCTCACTGCTTCGTTTCCAGGCGCGACTGGCGTCCTGCGTCCCGGTGCTCTGTGCCTCGGTCCCCTCTCTAGTGGGACGGGGTGGGGTGGGGGTGGGGTGTTTCGCATGTGGAACGGAAGGCCGCGTGCCCCCAGCCCAGGCTGAGTCCTCGGAAATACGGTCCACAGGTGCTGGTGGTTTCGCCCCCACCTCGCTGGGTTGAGGTGCCTTGACCCCGAGCTGCTGGCACGCCAGGGTGCCCCGTCCAAACCCACTCTTCCTGGCGTGCGTCCTGGGCTTTGATTGCAGGTCAGGGTGGATGGGCTTGTCCGGCTCTGGGTCCTCCACGTGAAGGCAAAGGCCGTTTCTGTTTGTAGAAAGCGTCAGGAGCACCTAAACACCAGGCTGTACGCCCTGGAGCCAGCGTCCTGGTAGGCTTTCCGTTGGTTAAGAGCTGAACAGGGCCCGCCAGGAAGGGTATAAACGGGGATGTACACATTTGCCTATGTCTCTGCTTACTGTCCCGTGGGAAGTCGGCTGCTGGGGGAATGCACTGGTTTTTGTGGAGTTTTGGTTTTTGAGTGGGAAGTGAAGTTGGGGACCCCCACTGCCTACCCCTGGCCGATGGTGGTTTCTGTCTCATCGAGGGTGGGACAGCCCTGCACTCTTCAGGGGGGCCTGTGTCTTCACCCCCACAGATAAACAGCCCCCAGATCATCTCTCTGCACTGGCCATTCCCGTTCTTCTATTTTTTATGTTCTATATGCAGAGATAGAATTCTGTCTGGTAGCTTTTGTATACTTTCATATTTTTAAGGAAGTGTTGATTTTGAGGACACACAGTCTGTCCCCCGGAGGGATGTGAGCTTGAATCAGGGGCTGTTCTAACAGGTGTCATCCTTGGTCTGGGGATGCTACCAGCGCTTTGTGGTTGGGTCCTCGAGCCTTGAAACCGTAGAGACCAGGGGATGGTAGCAGGTCAAGGGGGTTGTTATAAGGAAGAGGAGAGCAGATAAAGTGTTTCTGGGAAATATGAAACCACCTCCTCCAGCGCATGGAGCCTGTGCTCACAACGGGCCTTGGTTCTTAGAGAACGGATGCTCAACATTGCCTAATAAAATAGTCTCATTCTTTTCCTGTGTCTGCCTTCTAATGTGGACCGGACTATTAGCAAACCCACACACCTCACTTCCCACCCACTCACCTCCTGCCCTAGGCCAAAAGTGGCCCAAGACCTTCAGGGAGTCAAAGTCAGTGGCTTCAAAGAACACACCTTTGGGTGAACCAAGATCTGTGTGCTTGACTGGTGCACACACCTGTCCACCGCCCTTGGCCGACTCTGCATCCAGTCTGTCAACCAAGATGGAGTGGCATGTTTGGCTAAGAAGCCAGCGGCCTCCTAAGGAGGCCGTTGGGAATCATCTCTATCCAGAATCAACTAGATTAGACACAAGGAGGATGTTTCTAACCTAGGCAGTGATGGTTGTTAAACCAAGCCACGTAGGCCTTGAAATCCCCATCATTCACTTATTTGGCAAACATTGAGGACTTAAGTACCATCACGGTGTTGGGTACTAGGTTCTAGGAAAACTCCGTGAAGTTTTCGTAGGAGGAATAATCCCACCTGTCTGGATGGATACAGTGGTTTTCCAGCTGATACCAAATTCTGGGATTTGGGTCATAGAAGATACTAGCGCTCTCTTCCTCTAAGTCTCAAGAAAAGAGCTGATATTAAGCTTTGCAAAACTTTTTTTTTTTTTTTTTTTTACTCCTCTCTACCTAGTAGGGACACAAAATATCTTAGGAAAAAAAGGGACAGAAGATCAGGTTGGGAGATGACAGTCTGTGGTCCTAGAAAGGTTGAGAGTCCGTCACTTCCTGTCCTGCCTGCCCCTGGAGCGGATCTGTGGAGGCAGGGGGGGGCTCAGCATGCACTGGCCTTCGTGCGGCTCTGTGCGGGATGCAAGGGCACAGCCTTCTTCCCTGGAAGACGTCAGGAAGCCCCAGGCCCCTTGGGGGGGACTACTTCGGCCCCCCAGCAGATTTCCTTCGGCCATGTCTTTGCCTGTGATTCAGTCACACCTCTGTAACAAAGGCTATTTCCCCTAAATGTACATGCATTTAGGGATTGAGGTTTTATCATGTTTGTTTCATGGGAACAGCCTCGGGACAGTTACAAATTTAGGGACAAATTTCAAATTTAGAATAAATGGTGAAAAAAAAAAGCGATTGCTTCACCCTCGGGGAGTCCCCCATGTCCAACTCAGCAGGTCCTCTCCATGACTTGCTCACTCCCCTCTCCTGGGCCCTCAGGGGCCTCCTTGCACCCTTCAGCCGTTCCCAGACCCAGCTTGGCTCACCTTCCCTGAGAACCCCGAACCTGTCCGGTGTGGCCTCCCTCAGCGTCCCGGCCCCAGAGCAACAAGCTTGTCCGTGGCACCCTCACTTCCTCCAGGCTCACTTCCTCCAGGCTCAGCCGAGAGCCACCGTTCAGGGTAGCAGTAAGCCATCTCCACCTGCGCCAGCGGCCGCTTCTCTCCTGGTCAGGGCCTCGCCCCCTCAGTCACTCCCCGACCCCTGCTTTCCAGTCTCCTAGAGCCTCAGACTCAGCATGTCCAGGAGGCCCCCTCCCTGCCGGCCTCCCTTGTGTTTGCTCTGTGAGTAGCACTGCCATCGCATGGCCCCACTCAAACCCAAACCTGGGAGTCACCCAAGACTCCTTCCTCCCTCCCTCCCTCAGAGCCCTTCAGGACCCAAACCCTGCAAGTTCTGCCTTTTTAACCTCTCTCCCGGCTCCCGCCTCACCCCACCCCAGGGCATAGTTCATACCCCTATGCTTGCAGTAGCCCACAGGCTCCCTCCCTGCCTCCTTCTTCATCCTCAACTGTAGCCAGCCTGAGTGTGAGCCCCTCACAACCCGGTTTAACCCCCCCAGGGCTCCCCATCCTACAGAAAGGCTGTGTTCCTTGGAGCACAGATGAAGTCTTCCTGATGGGCCTCTGAGGAACCTCTGTACCCTGACCATCCTCGCCCCCTGGCCGCTCCCCTTGAATGTGCTCCACAGGCCCTGCCTTGTCCTCCCGCTGTCTCCTGTTCTGTTCTGGGATGCCTGGCCTCCCGAGGGCACACCTGCACATTTCTGAAAACTCAGTCTGGGTACCGTCTCCTTCATGAGGCCTTCCCTGCTCTTCTCTGGCAGACCTCACCCTGCGTCCTGCACCCAAGGACTGTCCAACCTCAGAGCCTCAGACATGATTCTGCCCCTCTGCCTTCTATGTGTTATGATCACACCTGTACTGATGTCAGAAGGCAGTGGGAAACTAGGCATGTTCTTTCCTGTAGCTGAGTCTAGTACACAATGTTTCTCTTGTCTGGACAAGCAATGGGACTTGGAGACTGTATCTTATCTCACTCTTACCCTTTGATCCTAGTGCGTTCATATGACATATCCTGAGGAACCCCCCCTTGTTTTAATATATACATTTTAAAATTGTTTTTTTTTTTTTAATGTTCATTTATTTTTGAGAGAGACACAGAATGTGAGCAGGGGAGGGGCAGAGAGAGAGGGAGACACAGAATCCAAAGCAGGCTCTAGGCTCCGAGCTGTCAGTGCAGAGCCCGACTCGGGGCTCAAATCCATGAACCGTGAGATCATGACCTGAGATGAAGTTGGACGCTTAACCGACTGAGCCGCCCAGGTGCCCCTAATATATACATTTTAAAATACAAAACACAGGTAAGTGCACAAAAGTGTAAGCTCATGGCACTCTTACAAACTGGACACACCCATGTAACCAGCACCCAGACCAAGAAACAGCACCGCCACATCCCAGAGGCCCCTCAGGTCCACGCCCAGCAGTACTTTGTCACCCTGTCCCTGTTCTCATGTTTGGCACAGTAGAGGGAGTGTTGGGAGCTGGACAGACCTGGTTCTAGACACTTGGGCCACCAGTCACACCCCCCCCCCACTTGACTTTTAGTAGACATTTTACAGTATGAGGCAAGTCATAAAGAGACTTCTTTTTTCATGGAATTTTTCTTCCCTTTGGGTTGCATTTTTATACTTTATGATAAGCCACACTAGCCTACAGTAACAACCCAGGGAGCAGCTGCTGTGCACAGGCTCTGTGCTACGTTCTACACGTACGCCTCACTTGATCTTGACAACCCTGTGAGGTAGGTCCGTATCCCCGCTTCGGGGCTGGGGGAGTGGAGGCTCAGAGGGGAATCCGGTGCGTAACCTGCCCGGCACCTGCTGCTTTATTTCACTGTGTTATTAAAGCCCTGAGAAGTACCCATGGGAAAAAATGGAGAAAAGAACCAAACACTGAAATGCAAACAACACTGGCTACGAGGCTTCCCTGTAGCTGGTAGCAAGAAGATCCCACAACTGGAATTGGTCCTGCCTTGCACGGGGCCACGTGACCGGTGGTGGCTCTTCCCAGCCCCTTATCCCTGACTTTGCAGTCCCGTCTCCTCACAGGGAGCTCAGCAGGGACCCAGGGTGCTGGGCTCGCACTCACAGTCCCTCCCGGACAGTCCTGGAGTTTTTTCACACGCACGGCCATTTTAACCTCTCCTGTTGCCCGGGCGGGCCCTGTTAAGCTATTTCAAATTTCTGGACAGAATATTAGGGCCCTTCCTTTTTCTACTCTCATGATTTGATAACATAGCCCCAGGCCCCAGAGGAAGTGGAAGTAGGATTGTATGGACAATGGTCAGATTTTGAGATGGAGGATTTCCTCGCCTGGTGGGGGGTGACGGCTGGTGGCGAATCCCCTTTGGCTCTCCACCCAGTCATCGGTGCAACTGAGCTCATGCCTCTGGTGTCAGCAGGGGCTGTGGCTCTAGGGCCTACCTGCCCCCGGTTCCCCCTCTCCTGCTGGCTCTTCCCAGTGTCCCAGCTCTGATAACTTTCCATCCCTTCGCAGGCCCGAGCCAGCTGTGGAACGGCTGTGGGGTGGGGAGTCCGGCTCCAAGGAAACACCACCCGGGCCCCTGGAGCTCCCAGGCCCTGGCAGACACAGCGTCTCCACTGCCTGTTTACACTGTTGGCGTCTGAGGGCAGGCGTGCCTGCCAGGAGGCCTCAGCGGGGGCACCTTTGGCCAACTGACCGCAGAGTTCTGGTCCCCAGCCTTTCTGGTGCAGAGACTGGATTTCCCCAGTTACCCAGAGGTGACCGGACCCTGGGTGGCAGGCTCCTGCTAACTCAATTTCCAAGAGACCAAGAGAATCTAGAATTCAAATTATTAATTTATGGTGGGGGATCTCCTATCACAAGCCTCCTTCAGAGCACCCATCATTCCTGGTCTTGAGTGACTGCAATGGTGGCTTTGTGATTAGAGAGTGCTTGAGCAGCCGGACATGAAAGGAAGCGGTCATGTGAGGGACAGGCAGACGCCAGCCACGAGCCCCTCTGGGGACAGATGCTGGGCTTCAAAACCACTTGTTATCCGTGTCCCCCCATGCTGTCTGCTCAGTGCCCAAGATGGCCTTGTTAACTCTGCCAGGTTTCCCTGTTGGACAGGTCTCCTTGCGCAGGTAAGTTAGTATCACTGGTTAAATGAGTTGGATGGATGGTCCAGTGGGCCTAGGGAACATAGTCTCCACTCATTATATGTGGCTGTCATCTGTCGAATTCCTGGAGGATAAGCTTTTATCTCCTTCACCTGGAAATCCTTGTCCCCTTATGCACTGCTTCTAAACACCTCTGTGCAATGTTTTTCTAAATACATCAGGGATCCAGAAACCAAACGCTTGCTGAAACTGATGTACAGACATTTGCCACTCCTAGCTGTCCCAAATGGCGCTGCCTTCAGAGTTACTGGCTCCTGTGTCTCCCTCCCACTCGTGTCCTGGCATCTGTGACATAGTGGATGGTGGGTTGCGAGCCAAAGAGACCTGTTGGGCGTCTGGGTGGCTCAGCTGGTCAAATGACGGACTCTTGATTTTGGCTCAGGCTGTGATCTCGCCGTTCTCGGGATCAGGCCTCGCTTCTGGTTCTGCACGGACAGTGTGGAGCCTGCTTGGGGTTCTCTCTCTCTCTCCCCCTCTCTCTGCCCCTCCCCCCAAAGCATGCTCTTTCTCTCTCTCAAAATAAACTTAAAAAACCTAGAGACCTGCCAGACCTGGTTCTAGACACACCTCTGCCACTAACCAGCATTATGATGAGGCAAATCACTTCCGGAAGCCTCATTTTCCACATCTGCAAAACTGATGACAGTGCTTGCTGTGCCCACTCCAGAAGGCTGCTCGGAGGAGGTCGATCACTCTGTACGGCAGAGAACACTAAAACCCTATCTGTGGTAGTATTGCTAACTCTGACCTAGACGTAGCCTGCTTTCACCAAAAAATGCACCTGTCTAGGTTTCTGAGGACAACTGTCCTCTGAGGGACCAGGAGGCCACAAGTGGGAAAGTATCTCATGTGTGTAGACTTTTGGGGGTCCTTTAGTCCCTTTCTTTGAGGGGCGTGGCCCATAGCTTGAGGACAAGTATGCGTGTCTTCTCCCTTCAAGTACTGGATGTGGTGTTGATGGTCGATATGACTTGTGTTTGGGGCTACACTCTCCCTGCTTGATTTTGCTTCCAGTGGAAGTTCCACGTGCTCAGGAGCTCCCTGAGTTAAGGTAATAGGGCAGGGACGTGGATTAGTAATTTAAAATTTTCTTCCCTTTTTTTTAAACAGAGGAGGGGCGCCTGGGTGGCTCACTCGGTTAAGCAGCCGACTTCGGCTCAGGTCATGATCTCGCGGTCCGTGAGTTTGAGCTCCGCGTCGGGCTCTGTGCTGACAGCTCAGAGCCTGGAGCCTGTTTCAGATTCTGTGTCTCCCTCTCTCTGACCCTCCCCCATTCATGCTCTGTCTCTCTCTGTCTCAAAAAATAAATAAACGTTAAAAAAAACCAACAACAACAGAGGAACCTCTTTTCAAGGGAAATCTTAAACTAATAGAAAATGCTAAAAGCAAAGCTTCTCTGTGACTTGATGGTGGGAACCCAAAGCCTTCTCCTGGCCCAGACTCACAATTGGACTTAGGGCTTTCTGGAAAGCCCCTCTTGCCATCCTGTGTTTCCCTTGCCTGCCCCTCCCCACCCCCAAGGCTGCCCCTTCTGTGGGAATAATCACAGCTTCACCCACCTTTAATTGAATTTTGGACCTTTCATCTGTTAAAGAGGGAGTGAGGCCTACTATGCAGGATTCATTATCAGATCCAAACCAGAGAAAATATGCAATGTAAGTGCTCAATAAAATGCAGTTTCCTGCCCCCTTCCCCTGAGGCCGCACCTTCTACCCTCTTGGGCTCTCCCAGTCGCTCTCCAGTATTTCTTTCCAGCCACATTCTTTGAAGGCACCTTTTAGCACTTACCACACTGCATTGGAGATATGTGGGTTGTTCAGGGCAGCATTTTAAAATTGCATCCGCCAGAGGCGCCTGGCTGGCTCAGTCATTGGAGCATGCCACTCTTGATCTCGGGTCATGAGTTTGAGCCCCAAGTTGGACCTAGAGATACAAAAAATAAATTCATAAAAATGCATCCTCTGCTGGCCTGCATTCCTTAGGAGGAGGGAGTGTTTGGCTTGGGCCAAAGTTAATGTTCCACGGCTGATTGTTGGAATGAATAAGCGTCAATAGTATTCATCTGGTCAAAGTATTCACCTTAAATCTCCCAGGGCTGGGCACGCAGGATATGAGGGTGTGTGGTGGACGTGTGTGTGTGTGGAGGGGTGGTGGTGGTGGTGGTGGTAAAGCATTGCCACAGTGGACAAACATGCCGGAAAAGTACTTTCTTAAGTGGCCAAAAATCTGAATTGGAGTCTCGGCGGCGCACTAGCAGACCCCGGGCCGCCAAAGGCTCTCCCTCTCTCTCACTCAGGGCCCCCGGCAGTCGGGAAGCGGGTGGGATCACACCACCTCCGCTGGGTCTACTCCAGGCTGTGGCTCTGAACTCCCAGATCCCGCGTGCAGTAAAGTCCCACCCCTCATCAGTGATTCGTCTGAAACACAGACGTCTAGGCCGTTCTCAAATTTTATTGGCTAGTGCTGTTATCAGTCTGCGGGCACGGAGGCCTATGGGAAATGGAGTCTGGCAAAACCCAGTCCTTCTGGGGATCGCGTTTCCGCTTCCGGTGTTTAGGGGACGTCCGAACGCCAGGACTCCGGGTCCGGGGTGGGGGTTCGAGGGTCGTTTGGGGACGTTGCGCGGCCGCGGAGAAGGTGCCACGGGCCGCGGCCCCCCGGCGTCGCAGGGCCTCGGCTGGTGCGCGCCGCTGTCACCTCGGGCCCTAGCCGCCCTCGCCGGGTGGGCGTGGCCGGACCGAAACCCAGGGTCCCGCCGTCTCAGGCCCAGGCCCCGTCGCCCCGCGAGCGGCCCCCGGGCGAGATGCGGCCCTCGTGCTGGCGGCGCCCTCCTTCGCGCCGCCCACCGGACTCGGCGGGGAGGACCCTGGCCTTGTAGCCGCCGAGGCGACCCCGTCCCCAGGGCCCGCATTTACCCCATAAGGCTTCCAGAGAAGGTCGCCCGCGGAGCAGAGTAGCCTTCCGGTGTAAGTCACGCTCTGCGGGCCAGTCCCCCAGTCCACGGTCAAGGGGCTGAGCCCCTGTTTATTTCCTGCCAAACACCAGCCATGTGACCTTGGGCAAGTCTCTGGGGGTCTCTGAGCCACGATTGCCCAGCTTTGAGGGAGTTGAAGTCCAAGTATTTCTTAACTTTCCTGCCAGCCCTGACATCCCGTATGGGTCTGTTTTTAGTATCTCTACTCTTAAAGCTTGTAATCCTAACCAGGGTAAATCTTCCTGTTTGGGAGAGAGTTATTCCAGGGCTGAGGAATCCCGAGTGGGGTGACCAGCCAGAGGTGAGGGCAGTTTAGAGGTTGGACCCTTTGAATCTCTGAAAGGTTAGAGCCAGCTCCACCCAGCTGCTGCTCTCCAAGGTGCTGCTACCTTGTGCGCCCTCTCGTACTTGTCCTGCCACATTGACTTTGTCACACTCTAGTTCCGAAGACCAGTGGCTTGGGAGGGTGGGCGGCTTATTGTCCCCATTGTCTTCTCCAGTCTATCCTCACTCGTCAGTGTGGATGAGTGACATCTCGGCCTCAAGTAAATTGCTGTGCAAACACAGCCTCAAGCCCCCCTACTTTCCAATCAGATCACCCGCTCTTGACCCTCCTCTTAAACTTCTGGAGCTGCTTCCCCAGTGACACAGGGCCAGACTCCACGGGCACCAGGACATGGGGAGGGGAGGACACGAAGGCTCTTTTCTTCACCTCAGTCCTGCTGGGCTGACACTTGTGATGGTCACTAGCATTCGCTCTGTAATGTATTATCTGTGGCTCTAGATTTTCGAGTTCTACTTAGTGACTCCTATCTGATGGTAGCTCCCCGTTGAGGTAAAGGAAGAGCTTTGAGCTTCAGAGCCCAGTGGCAAGGTTCTTCCGTGAGCTGAACGATGGCTGTAGCTGGGGACCCACAAGTCCAGACTCCTCGAGAGCGAGAAGAGCTTCAAAGAGTGAAGCTGGAAGACGATTCCCACTGGGAGCAGGAAATTTCCCAAAGGAGCGACCCTGGACCAGAGACCTCCTGCCGGCGGTTTTGGCATTTCTGCTATCAACAAGCATCAGGACCCCGGGAGGCTCTCATCCAACTCCGGAAGCTCTGTCATCAGTGGCTGAGGCCAGAGAAGTGTACGAAAGAGCAGATCCTGGAATTGCTAGTGCTAGAACAGTTCCTGGCTGTCCTTCCTCGGGAGATCCAGTTCTGGGTTAGACAGAAGCATCCAGAGAGTGGAGAGGAGGCCGTGGCCCTGGTGGAAGACTTGCAGAAAGAGCCCGGGAGACGGGGGCTCCAGGTGAGAAGCGAGAACCTTGTTCTGGGTAAAGCAGGAGGAAGTGGGAGAGTGCCCTTGGTTTGCCAGCAGTGTGGGTGATGTGCCGTACTTTGCTGTTCGTGGCAAAGTGGCATTTGCTCATTCCCTGGGCCTGGTGGCTACGGCTTTCCTTCCACGCTCAGACGGACTCTTCACAGAATGCGTAACAGCGCTTGCTCTGAGCGTGGGGCCCTGCCGTTAAGTAAGAGAATTGCTTAAAACGGCTTGAACACCACTCCGGGCGAGGAGGTGCACACAGAAGGACAGAAAAGCTAGGGTTTGTGGGTGGGTGGGTTGATTTTTGGTTTCTTTTTGGAGAACAGCTCTCATTCGTCAGCAGCCAGCCTGACGCAAGTGGCTTCACTGGTCTTTATGGCCAGTATTGCACCTTTGGGTCCTATTGAAAAACAGCTATATTTTTGGTTGGCTTAGTCTTGCCTCAGGAGAGCTGGTGGGCAGATTGCAGTGAGCCTGGGATCCAGACCTTATCTGTTAGTCTTTTGCACATCCACACTCCTTACTGGACTGCAGTGATTTGCAGGAGACTGATTTCCTCCTTTGCTTCTTTGCATCTTGGGATAGTTAAGTTTTAGTGCCTACAGAATTTCGACCCCTCTAGTCCTTGAACAGGGACAGGAGGTATGCTCAGAGGAGAAGGAACACTGAGGATCAGTACTAGCTTCCCAAGACACCCATCTCAAGCAAGCACAGACAGGATTCATGTGTCTGTTACAGGCAGTGGTGAAGAACTCACAGCCAGAACCGGAAGAACAGTGGCATCACAGTCCCGAAGAGGAACTCCCAGCCTTGCACAGGAGCGGTAGGAAGCAGCAGTCTGGGGAGAGGGTGGGTCAGTTCCCTCAGAGTGCCGAAGGTGGGAGGATGGGGCAGGTGAAATGAGGCTTGGGGGATCCTCGGCAGGTACCTCCGAAGGGAGGAAGGGCCTTGGTTGGCATGTTTTGTAAAAGTACCCAGCGGAGCCTGTGGTACCTCTCCTTGTGTGAGTGAGGTTACTGTCCCCGTAGGTTGGGCACAGATTTTAGGTCTGGCTGGTGGAGAAAGCACAAAGTGGGGTCAAATCCAAGCACAGAAAATCTCAGGACAGGTACATGTGTCCCAGACCAATTTGGATGAGGCAGATGTGTTATCAAAACTGACGAAGAAAATCATGAAACTGCATCAGTAACCTGGATGGATATGGAAGGGGAAAATTGGGAGCTCTCCTCATTCTGGTTTTTCACCAACTTTCTTTGCTGGGACAGAGCAGACACCAAGAGAAGGGGGAAGACTCTTCTGTTTCAGAACTAAGTTGGGCCCGTCCTCAGGAGGAGTTGAGAAACGTGGTCTCCTCATAGCTCCTTTCTCTTCCCCACAGCCCTGCCTGGTCCTGGAACTCTGGGTCTTTCTGTGGAGGAGGGCGGCAGTGACCAGGGGATGATGCACAGCCCCCAGGTGAGCCAGATCTTTCTCTTACTTAGGACGCCTTTCACTATCCAAGTGGGGGCCCTTTGCCGCCAACTCTTTTGGTCACCAGAAATGCCAAGAGAGTTTTACCCAGCGGTGGTGGAGGGGGTTCTCAGTAACTTTGTAGATTAGGCTCCAGAATTTCACCAGCCAGAAAAATGTTGCTGAACCCCCCCCTCCGTCTGGAAGGCAGCACCACAGCTGAGGTGGTGAGGAATGGTATTAAGTCATTCTTTTCCTTGAGCCCGAGATTGTAAGATCATGCTGATTGGCACGTTTGCCTTAAAAGGAATAGTTACTTCCTTCTTTCCATATCCGAGTCTTGCCCACATGGTGTGCAGGACTGTGGAGGCGTGGAGGGAACAAAAGCCTCAGGGTCAGAGAGTCCTGCGTTCAAATCCTGGCTCTGCCACATACTGACTGTATAACTGAGCAAGTGTGAAACTATCTGGCACAGCACACCTGGTGTTCCGTAAATGTTAGCTTCTTTCTGGCTTTTCTTTCTCTCCCCCGCTCCCTCCCCGTCCTTTATTGCCTTTAAAAGTCAAAGAAAACTCACTTTTTAGTTTCTCCTCAGCCTTTTTCGTCACCTGCCCTCTGATGAAGGCCGTATAGGGAGGCATTTTGTCCCAAGGCGGCACCTTTTGAACAGGGTGTTATGTTTTCCCAGGAGTTGGTGACATTCGGCGATGTGGCCGTGTACATCTCCCAGGAGGTGCGGAGGCAGCCAGGACCTGGATGGAGGAACCACCTGGAAAGAAGTTGGGAGAAATCTGCAAGTGAGGTCTCGCCGGGTAAGAGCGCCGTTTTCCTGTACAAAGTTAGCCGTGGCGTTATCTGTAGTGTTCACTACCCCAGACCTTTTTGGGATCATATTGTTCAAAGCCCTCAATTCTGCTTGAAGAGAGACCCGTAATCTAATACCAAAGTCAGTGCTCTCAAGGATGAGTTTCTAGAACCCAGAGAGAATATTGTGTTGACATTTACTGACCATCTTAGGAAGACGGTCAGTAAAGCCTCTGGTGGGAGCCTGAATTTTATTTGTTTCAGGACAGATGTACGTGCATGTGTAGGTCTAGATTTGGGCCTGGATTTTTTTCTTACTGTTCCCTCGCAGCCTGAATACTACTTTTACCGAGGCTTCCCGAGAATCCCTTCAGACTTAAAAAAAAAATGAATAGTATCTCCCCTCCCTGGCATATAAGGTGGTTGGGATGAGAGTCACCAAACCACTGTATCTTCTGTGTGTCTCCCTCTGCAAACAGATTTGCCAACCCCCCTACCCAGTGTCAGCTCCCACGTGGAGCAGGAGGAGGACCCACGGAGGCGTGATCTTCAGTGTCCCGGAGAGGAGAACGCCAGCGACTCCGCAGCGGGCGGGGGGAGAGGCCAGCCTGGCCACGTGCCCGTCCTGAGAAAAGCCAAGATGTGGGACGAGCTGGAGTTGCAGGGCCTGGAGGATGAGAAGGTGGCAGGGGTGCACTGGGGCTACGAGGAAACCAAGACTTTTTTGGGAATTCTCAGTGAGTCTTGGATCCACGAGAAACTGCGCACCTGCCATCGGAACCGCCAGGTGTACCGGCTGGTGGCCGAGCGGCTGCGGGAGCGCGGCTTCCCGCGGACCCTGGAACAGTGTCGCTACCGGTTCAAAAACCTCCAGACCCACTACCGCAAAGCCAGGAGCACGCACGCCCCGGGCACCTGCCCCTTCTATCGTGAGATGGACGCCCTGATGTGCCCACGGGCCGCCACCCCCCTTCCAGAGGTGGCAGGGGCTCTTCTTGGGCACAGGGCCTGTGATGTGGAGCATGCAGAGCTTCAGGGGCGCCGCTGGGGACAGGAGGAGGCAGTGCTGGCTGAGGCTGTGTTGGAAGGCGGGGCAGAGAAGCAGGGGCCGGACCCCGGCCACACAACAGCATCTGTAGAAGAAGGGCATTTAGGAGCCGTCACAGAGGATTCTGAGGGGGAAGAACTGGGGGTCGAAGAAGTGTCTGGAAGCCCTGGAATCCCAGCCCTGTTTCGGAGTCCGGCTGGTAAGTCCTTGTCATGAGCAAGCTGGGAGGGTCCTCGCTGTCAGCGGGGTTTGGAGAAAAGCTCGCCGCGACCGGTCATTTCGGGGGTGCCGTGGGGATTCAGGGCACACTGTAGTCGTCTGCAAAGGGCAAGGAAAGGCTATTTTTATGTACAAATGGGACAGCCCTTTGTTCCTGTGTGCAGTCGAGAAAAAGGAAGAACCATTATGTAAGAGTCATGTGTATGAGTGTAAAAATAAACGTGTGCATATTGTCGGATCGAGTCCCATCACAGAGGAAAACCCGCTTGACTGTTTCTCCGGAAATCACCGAGATGCTGTGGTAGGAGTGGGGGGTCTCCTGCTGTCCTCTGCACAACCAGCAGCACCATCTCAGCTCACCTCTGTACCTCTCCTCCAGGTGTGCACTGGGGCTACGAAGAAACCAAAATTTTCCTGGGGATTCTCGGTGAGCCCTACATTCACGAGAAACTGCGCACCTGCCATCGGAACCGCCAGGTGTACCGGCTGGTGGCCGAGCGGCTGCGGGAGCGCGGCTTCCCGCGGACCCTGGAACAGTGTCGCTACCGGTTCAAAAACCTCCAGACCCACTACCGCAAAGCCAGGAGCACGCACGCCCCGGGCACCTGCCCCTTCTATCGTGAGATGGACGCCCTGATGAGCCCACGGGCCGCCACCCCCCTTCCAGAGGTGGCAGGGGCTCTTCTTGGGCACAGGGCCTGTGATGTGGAGCATGCAGAGCTTCAGGGGCGCCGCTGGGGACAGGAGGAGGCAGTGCTGGCTGAGGCTGTGTTGGAAGGCGGGGCAGAGAAGCAGGGGCCGGACCCCGGCCACACAACAGCATCTGTAGAAGAAGGGCATTTAGGAGCCGTCACAGAGGATTCTGAGGGGGAAGAACTGGGGGTCGAAGAAGTGTCTGGAAGCCCTGGAATCCCAGCCCTGTTTCGGAGTCCGGCTGGTAAGTCCTTGTCATGAGCAAGCTGGGAGGGTCCTCGCTGTCAGCGGGGTTTGGAGAAAAGCTCGCCGCGACCGGTCATTTCGGGGGTGCCGTGGGGATTCAGGGCACACTGTAGTCGTCTGCAAAGGGCAAGGAAAGGCTATTTTTATGTACAAATGGGACAGCCCTTTGTTCCTGTGTGCAGTCGAGAAAAAGGAAGAACCATTATGTAAGAGTCATGTGTATGAGTGTAAAAATAAACGTGTGCATATTGTCGGATCGAGTCCCATCACAGAGGAAAACCCGCTTGACTGTTTCTCCGGAAATCACCGAGATGCTGTGGTAGGAGTGGGGGGTCTCCTGCTGTCCTCTGCACAACCAGCAGCACCATCTCAGCTCACCTCTGTACCTCTCCTCCAGGTGTGCACTGGGGCTACGAAGAAACCAAAATTTTCCTGGGGATTCTCGGTGAGCCCTACATTCACGAGAAACTGCGCACCTGCCATCGGAACCGCCAGGTGTACCGGCTGGTGGCCGAGCGGCTGCGGGAGCGCGGCTTCCCGCGGACCCTGGAACAGTGTCGCTACCGGTTCAAAAACCTCCAGACCCACTACCGCAAAGCCAGGAGCACGCACGCCCCGGGCACCTGCCCCTTCTATCGTGAGATGGACGCCCTGATGAGCCCCTGGACCCTCGCCAGCACCTTTGATGCCT